ACGTGGAAAAGATAGGAGGAAGGTACTGGCGTTGCCTCTGTTCCGTCGTTTCGGTATTCCAGAAATCCCAGCACCGCACAGTTGAGAGGACAGTACTGTTTGCAAGTTGGTTTGCTTAGTTTTTTTCCTGACAACTAGAATTGACTTATTGTCCACATTAATCTAATTTGCTGAGTAAATGAAGACGTACAGTGCTGTAAGCCAAGTAAATTGATTTAATTTTATCCTTTTTCAAAGTGTTTAGACTAACATACAATAAGAATTCCGTATCCCACACCTGTTTGCACACAGAGCAAACCAGTACACTTGCAGTGTGCTCTGACATACATTTCATGACACAATTCTACTGTTATGTCCTGAAGAAACAACCCAGATATCTAAACTGCCATTTCCTTTGCTCCGTCATGGAGTTAGGTTATACCATGGACTAAAAGACAGCCACCATAAGGCATAAAGCTTGGTGGTTACATGCAACTTAACGCCCAGCACGTGTTCTGCAGAGCCCCACAGACTGTCTTTGACAAGGAACGCAGAATCCCAGCAGCCAGGAACCCGAGCTCACAGTGTTCTCCCCGTCCCTCGCCGGCACCGCTGCTTCCTTCTTCCCTGCTCACCCTCAGTCTCGTTTGGTGCTTTCCCAGTTCGCTGCAACACGAACAGCGATCCCACAGCAGGGGGGAAAGTGGAATTTGAGCATCACAAAGAACCTGATGCTGCCAAGTGAACACTTCAGGCACGTCAGTGTGTTGCAGCGTAGTTCTGGGTGAGCCATTACCCAGCCAATTATTGTAATTGGGTTAACCAACATAACTGGGATAACTGCCCCGAGAAACAGAGATAGCGAGCTTGTGTCACCTGGGCTGCTGTTAGCATTCCCATCTCCTCAGATTTTTCTCCATGGAGTCATGCTTAACAGCTTGTGTTGCCTGGCACCTTAAAAGGGAGGTAACAGCTCTTAGTCTGATAAAGAACTTTCCTTGCTCCACATTTTAACCTTTTTAGACTTGTGAATGTGGGTGTGGATTCTTAACAGTTTTCAAGAAGCTTTCTGTTAACTGCTGCCTTGGATTTTGTGTTTCACAGGAACTATGACGTTGAATTTACGTGTCAGGTAAGCCTCCGGCGTGCTCTGTGGCATGTGGTGTTAGTAACAGCGGTGTGGATCTTCCAGCAAATTAAGCCAAGGCAGTTTAAATGGAGGGTGCTGGTCTTCCATAACGTGATTTCTGCTTGTTTGGAGCCTGAAACCTACTGCTGGGCATGTATTTGCAAATGTGATCATACTGAAAACAAACTTTATGATTTGCATTATTCCAGTATGAGAGTCAAATTTGGAGTCTTTCCTGTTGTGCCAATAGTGGTTTCATTGTGAAACAAACTTACACAGCTACATGTATTTTCACTACAATCCTTTGTGTTTTTTTGCAAAGGATCTTTCACTCTCTTGCCAGTAAAGCTGCTGTTCAGCAACACGTGCTGCCAGGCACTGGGAGAGGTGAGGAACAGTGCCTCACAGAAATGAGAGGAGTGTAAGCTGTCAGAACAGACTTCCCACGGCCACAGAAAGCTCTTTTGTGAATGGGGCCGTGACAGAATCAGCAGCACCTCCGTTACTTTTAAAGACATTGTGTACGTGGCAGAAATACTTGTCTAGGATTAAATCACGTGAAGCAGTGCCACTTCATCACTGGCAGCACCTCCAGTGACACACTGGTCACCTTCAGTTTGCTGACAGTCTGTTCTTTGTTCAGAAACACGAGATTTGCTCATGTCGGTTCTGTTTTAGCGTCAGCTGCTCTTTTCTTGGGAGAGGATTGTTTTGAATACTGCTTTTAAAGTAAATGTTAAACTCAATTTGAATATATGCTTCGTGTATCACTTCATCTCAGTTTTTATATGCTGCACATATATAAGACTTTGGAAATTTTTTGGGTACGCTTTGATCTATTTTCATTCTTATTTGCCTTGGACTAAACTTGTTTTTCATAGCAGACCCATGTAATTACTGAAGAAACCACATTATGATCAACCAGGCAAAATTCTTAAATCAAGACGTCTCCCCTTTCCTCTCTTCTTTGCTTAGACCGAAGATATTGAAGATTTAATTCCTAAAGGACTGTCTGAGGTGACAAAGCAGCAGATTCGGTATCTCCTCCAGGTATGTGCGTGGGCTGGAGGTGGTGTGTGGAAGTCTGTAGTAAATTAAAGTTTGTAGCAAATTGTAGTAATTGTAGTAAATTGGCAGCTGGTTCCACACATACTTGTGTATTTTAAACTGGGCTTTACTGGTGCTTCCTTGCAGTTCACTGGAAGCCATCTTGGCTTTTGACCAGTTACAGAACACAGACCTTTGGTATCAACACTTTAAAAGCCAAAGGCAAACAGTAGGTGCTTTACTCAACGTTGGCTTGGAGATCAACTGCCAACCACACAGAATGCTTCTAACCAAGGTCTCACCTTTTACAAATACTCTGGTTAATCCCCTAACGTAGCACTACGTTCTGGGGCATGCTTATGACATTCGGTACCAAAACAACCATTTCTGGTTTGGTTCCATCTGTAAAGGCTTTTGTGTTTCCTCTGATCCTGTCCTTTAGCTACCCAGCCATCCCAACCTGCCTCCTCTGTCACCAGCCACGCGGGTCTGGCTGCGAAGGCAATCAGACTCAAACGTGAGCTTCTGATAACAGGTTCATTTTGTTGCTTCCCAGCACTGTAATACCCTGCAGTGTGTTTTTTAGAAAAAACACCTGAGCTCTTTATCAAGCCCCTTGGAGACAACGGACTGGAATTGGCTGTTGCCTTTGATAAACCATTACAAACAGTGCTGCAGCACGAATCTCACTGCTGGCTCCAGAACGGTGAACCATGTGACACGTGTAATTAGAACAGGATCCAAAACCACCAGCACTGCTCGGCAGGTGTGTCTAGACCTGGTCTCCTGAGGTGGGGTAAGATGATCATACCCAGGAGCTGCAGCTTAGAGTCACTTCCTGGTAAAAAATACATTTGTGGATAGCAGCCTGGTCTGACTTCACAGCTGATCCTGCTTGAAGCAGGAGAGCTGGACACAGGGACGCCCAAGTCCCTTCCAACCTGAATTACTCTGATTCTTTTACAATGGAGATGGGCACTGACACCAAAATATTTCATGCCCTCGTGTTATAATGCTGTCCCAGGAAGCTGGGTCAGTGCACCTCTGCGTGAAAGAGCTGGAACATGTATTTCCTGTTTTCCTAAGTCCAGCTGGTTTGACATTCTCACACCTAGGCTTAAAAAAAAAACGCAGCTGAAATGTCTTTTGGGGAGCCAGACTTTGTCAGCGTCCATACAACGTGTGCTCCCGGACTGCAGAGCCCTCGGGTCTCCCGGACAGGTCTGGGGTTTGTTGTCCATCTGATGAAGGATCTGAGCTGTCAGACTGCTCCATGAGGACACTGTGGGTGCCCACAGGCTAAAGTCGAAGAGCACGGAAAATGTCGCTGTAGAATTACGCGGCACCTACGGAATTTAGCAGCCTCTGGCACCAAGTATTGCTGAGTGGGGATCTACGTACAGTTTTATAGTCGAAATTCAACTATTTTGACTTAATTCCTTCTTTTAAACTACTCCCATAGTGTATTTCACAATAAAACCAACAAAACTGTAAGTCAAAACTGAAATTCCCCTTTAATTACCAACCAACCAAACAAATGGGTGAGTTACACTGGAAATGTTATTTTTGAAGACTCAGTAATGTAATAGCACCAGTGGGGATAAAAAAACATAACAAGGGTTAATCCATCATATTGATGGAGATCTTGATAGCTTTCTTCAATTGGAATAATCAACAAATTTCCATTTCAACAAATAACTTTTAAGAGAAAGTATCGGAGGAAGAGAAACAAGACAGGAGGATTTAATTTTTGTCCAGATAGTAAAAATTACATCTTTTGCATAGAACATTCAGCTGTTCCAGATGAGTCAAAACTTAAGGAATTATTCTGTGTGTTCTTTCACGTTTTTCTTCTTCTTTCAAGTATTAGGAACGTATCATGAAATGCAACAATTTGTGAGTGAACATGAATCAACACACAACTGTTATCACGCACTAAAAGGAAAACCAGAACAGTGCAAGGCTGTTGGGCACTACTGCCTTCCTTCTGCAGCCACCTGACTCCTTTAATCTTTGGGATCTTTTTCCTTTTAAAGGGAGGAGTTGCTTGTATGGCTTTTCTTTTTTATTTAAATTTTTAAAAATTTTAATTAAATTCTCTTGCCCTTGGGCTGGAAGCGTGCTTTGCCAGATCTCAAAGGTGAGGACTCATTCCTCTGTGGCTTCTCAGGCAGGGTAGTTCTTTTTTAAAACAGCCGAAGTCACAAAGCTCTGAAAAAATGATTGTGCTGTATTGACACAGACGTTTATTTGCCCCTTTACTGGTGCACAGTAATTAAAACACTGTGCCATTTGCAGCACAAAGCACATGAAAATGTGTTTCCCTGTAGAAACTGCGGGCACTTCCAAGAACGACGTGCAGTAATTCTAAAAGTATCTTCAGCTGCGCAGCATTTTCTGTTCTACCTGTTGTCAAGCATGTTGTAAACAAAGCACACTAATTAAGCAGAAATAAACGTTTTCCTTTTTTCTCCTCCTAGATGAGAGTGACATCAGATAAATCTTTGAGACTTGTGCTTTCCACGTTCAAAAATCTACGTGAAGAGCTCTGCCATTTGCAGGATGACCTGGGGGTAAGCGACACGGATCACTTCCTGTGGCCTCAGCCACTTGTTTTTAGCCGTCAGCAGGAGGTCCGTTATGATGGAATTTCAGTTGTGAAGTCCAGGCTTTAGTTGCTTTAACGGAAATGGCTGGTTTATTGATGGACTTGCAAGACTCGTACAGTGGCTGGGGGTGGATTTCTTTCTAGCAGTGGTTTTCAAGTGTTCAATTTGCCGAAGCCTTAAAAAAACAAATACTTTCAAAGCAAGAAAATGCTGAGTGAAATGAGATTTAAAGCTCTGAACTGGTATATGCAATGTATATGTATATTTATATATATATATACACACACATTGGTGCACACGTCAGGAACTGTGTTTGCTTTTACCATGGACAAGGCACGTACAGCAAGTGCCTGTTTTATAGCACTGTTCCAGGAATCAGGAGACCTCAGTTCCATCCCCTCCTGACAGAGTTGTACTTCCCAATTCACAGGAAAGCTGTTGTCAGCTGGTGGCTCTTAACAACTCCTGTGGTTCTCCAGGGTACAGGTAGCCCAGTTTGGAAGCTGGAGCTCTCAGCTACCGATACAGACAGTAGATAAATGCTGTTAGCAAAGCAGAAACATTTCCCACACCAGCCCAAGATCCACTGGAAACTTCCCAGCATTCTTTTGTGAAAGACAAAGTTTAGGGAGAGGAGAGGGAGTTTTAACTGTCTTTAACATAGAACAGGAGTCTGTGCAGTGAAGTGGTCTCAGTTTGTTGGTTTTTTTTTGTTGGTATCCGTTTAATAACTATGAATAATACTTTCTGGGGCAGACTGAAAGAGCAGCATCCAGGATTCCAGTGCTTACCACACAGCACGAAGCCACAGATACTACAGTGATGGGCAACTAACTATGTGCTACTGTAGTTCAAAAATCATAGGTTCAAGAAAATGGAGTATTTTCTCAGTTGCAAAATGTCACTTATTTAATTACTCATTATGTTGCTCTTTCTTTGAATATGGGAGAAGTTTACTGAAAAACTGCAGCTATTGACTGTGAACACTTTTGTCTTACAGAAGTTAGAAACTGACAGTGTCTTACTTAAGAAGGATTTGGCTTTTAAAGATTCTCAAGTGAAAGAATATGAAGCTATGTTGACTTCTCTGAGAGAGAATAATCGTCAGCAGCAGGTAAATCTAAACCCGTATTTTTCAGTGCAATTACAGCCAGCCAAAAACTAGCCAGTGTCCTGACTTTGGCATATTCTGGGTAGCTGCTGCATGGTGGACATTTGTGTATGTGTGTGACCCCGTTCCTTCCCTAAGGAACACCGTGCACTCATTCCACCTCTGTGCTTTCCAGCAAGGGCTCAGAGACAGTACTGCAAAATGCCGCTCTCTGGAAGAGCAGCTCCTCTCTCTGCGGCTCAGTGAGGGAGAAAAGGATTGCCAGCTGAAGGAGCTGGAGTACGGCAAGCGCACCTTGGAGCAAGAGATCCAGAACCTTAGACTGCAGGTAACAGGCTCGTTCTGTGTTCAGTAGCTGTTCTTCACAGATACAGATGCAATAATGTATGAAGATTAATGATGAAAACTCTCTTTAGAATAAAAACCTACTTGATTTTCTGCAGACCTGCTCTAACACAACGCTGCAGACCACCACAGATGAACTCTCTAGCCGCTACATAGAGATGATCAATAACCTGAGAGAGGATAAAGACCGTGAGATCCGCAGTCTGAGGGTAAGTGATTAACTTGGCATGAGTGTATTCCTCACCTTGTGCGACTACAGGGAAACAGCTGCTTTTTTAAATTAAGGAACAGGAAAGATCTACCATATACACTTTTTAGATCTCTCTTGGTTCTGCAGTTACTTCATACACAGACATTAATGAGGGTACAGAAACCCTTATGGTGGAACATGAAATTTAAAAATATGAATTTAAAAAAATACCATTCTTTAGATGTAGCAATTAGGGATTAATCAGATGAGCAGTCTTTCCAAAAGGGTTATTTTGCGTGTCCTGCTAAAGCAAGAAGTAGCCAAAAGACACTCAACAGAAAACAGAAGTGCCCCAGCCAAAACTCTGTAGAGGAAATGTCTCTATAGCCAAAAGACACCCAACAGAAAATAGCAGTGACCCAGCCAAAACTCTGTAGAGGAAATGTCTCTCATTTACAGCACTGCAGTAGTATTGCACCACCCTGGAAGCCAGTCCAGCTTGTTCAGTGATGTATTAACTTTATTGAGTTATAAACCTTTCAAATCCGACTGAATTCCACCAGTATCAGTTTGCACTTCCTGAATTCACTGTGCAGCTCAGCGTTCTTACTTGGAAATCATCAGGTTCTGTGTATGTCCATAGTGGATTTTAAATTGCACTACTTCGAGTGTTACTGTTCATAATTTAGTGAAAATAATTAATCTAGGACATCTGAAGTCCTAGATACGTACGGAAAGGCGGCCTGCAAGCAGCACCAAACACCTCACGGTTCCTCAACGTATGTTTTACAGTCTCAGTTAGGTCCTAGATACGTACGGAAAGGCAGCCTGCAAGCAGCACCAAACACCTCACAGTTCCTCAACGTATGTTTTACAGTCTCAGTTATGCCAATTCCAGCAAGATATATCAAGGAGAGACGGCAGCAACAGTGACTTGCAAATAAGGCTGCACGAACTGACATCGATGCTGGAGGAGAAAGATGCTTTAATTAAACAACAGCAAGAGGTAAAACAATACAACTCAATTCTCTGCTAAGAATTTTTATATTTCAGCCTCCACTTACTGTGGAGGTGGAAACGTACTAGGAAGTCACTAGTACTCTCCTGGTGCAGCTATCAGGGTTAGAATGCTTTTTAACTGAATGCAGTAGCAGACTTTCCTGGACTGCTCTTTGAGAGGAATTTCTGCAAATGTTTTGTTGTGACTTTAGTGAACTCATACTTCAGAAAACATTATTTCATTTGAATGTTTACCTTTGGTTTTCTCAGGACCTCTTCCG